GGGCAATATGCTGACTCTGTAAACCGCTTAGAGAGGACTGAAAGCCCTATGAAGCGGTATATAAGTCTAACTGCTATTGCTATTGCTATATAAAACCTTCTACTTTGTTTTACGACCTTCAATCAAAACCGGAGAAAAGGTAAGAATATGGTTCTAAATGATTAAGCAGTTCTGAATGACGTTTTCACTGGGTTCCGGCATTACAGAACCAAAATGTATTTCTTAGAACTATCTAGCCTCCATGGCGTCTTTGTAGTTGCTGCATCGTGTGTGAAATGAAGACTTAATTTTGCTTTAAGTGCTTTTAAAAGCCTGTAACACTAAACCTTCTCATTAGCATCTGGCACAGAGAGAATTTTAGATGCAAAGTTGGAGCCAGATTAGAATTCCAGAAAGGAGCTACAATATTAAAGAATAACTGGCTGTCTTTAAGCCTAGACTGGGTTACATCACAGTTGTTTTGCGGTGATGAATCTCAAATAACACACGCAGTCCTTGACTTACAACCATTTCCATAGCAACCGTCAGAAGTTACAACACCACTGGAAAAAAACACAAAGTCAATGGGGAAGCCAGATTCACTGAACAACTGAGGTACTAACCCATCAATTGCAGTGATTCACTTAACGGCTGTGGCAAGAAAGATCATAGAATGGGGCAAAACTCCCTTAACAAAAGTCTCGGTGAATAACAGAAATTTTGGGCTCAAACTTGGAATTTATTTTACCAGTGGGTGGAAAAAAAGGGGTGAAGAGTAAGAATGGCATTGTATTGTTAAGCAAATTAAATACCCAGACAATGCAATGTTTATTGTTTATGGACTGAGCCACAGTGGCACAGTGGTCAGAGTGAAGTACTGCAGGCTACTTCTGCTGACTGCTGGCTGCCTGCAACTGGGCAGTTCGAATCTCGCTAGGCTCAAGGTTGACTCAAGGAGACAAGGGAGAGTGATCCGGACGCCAGCAGTGAGTTGTTCCTGGATGCACGGCACCAAAGAGCTAATAGGCGTCAGGAACAGTTGTGTAAGTACAGGAGGTAATTGCACTCAGCTGGTGGTCATTAGGCTCCTCTCCAGACTATAAAAAGGACTACTTGTGCACATGCCCCTCTTTGCAGAAGTCAACGCAGGAATTAATGTTGGAGAATATGATTGTGAGCTTGGCAGACTGGATTGCTGCCACGGCTTATCTGTGCTGGATGGCTGCTCAAGCTTGTCTTTGAAGTTTTGCTGCCAAGGACCTTTCTGTCTGTTAATTAAATGCTGTAACTTATCGTTGGCTCGGAGTGTGTTGGTGTGGGATGAGGGAGACAGAACACTTAATTTGTTTAATAAATAAAATAAAAC